CAATATGAAATCCAATATTTTTGTTTAGTTTTCATATATGAAATCCATTATTGCAGCAGTGAGCATTACAGATTAAATTACAGAAAAATCTGTTACAATTGTCTTTTAAGAACATCAAATTCTCAAGAATAGATGCAATAAAAATGTGGAATACCTCTACACAAAAGTGTATTAAACATTACTGAGGCAAATTAAAGAAAACATAAATAAATGCAATGAGTGGGGAGATATGTACTTTGCCTGAGGATTGAAAAAGAGTCACTATGGTAAAGACAAATTTATCTATAGATTAAATGCAATCTCAATCAAAATCCCAATAGTTTTTTGTCTGTGTATGAAAATTTAAAAGTCAATCTAAAATTTGTGGAAATAAACAAAAGTAGCTACAAAAATGTAGAAGAAGGAGGAGATACTTGGAAGACTAACACTACTAAAATTTATCTGGTATCAATACAAGGCTATAAAATAAACTGATGGGAAAAAATAGATTCCATAAACAGACCCATGCTCATATGCACACTTGATCTGTGATAGGAGACACTGCAGAACCCTGAGGAAGAATGATCTTTTCAAGAAACAGTGCTGCTTCAATTGCATATCAATAAGGAGGAAAATGAAACTTGAACCCTACTTAAATCACATGCAAACATATCAATCCTTGTGAATTGCAGATCTAAGTTTGAAAAGTAAAACAATAAAGGTTCTTAGAATATAATATAAGGGTATATAGTCATGACCTTGCGGTAGGAAATCATCTATTAGAGGGTACAAAAGGTACTAAACAGCTACGGTGCAGTGGCTCATGCCTGTAATCCCAGCACTTTGGGAGGCCTAGCCAAGTGGATCACTGGAGGTCGGGAGTTTGAGACCAGCCTGGCCAACATGGTGAAACCCCATTTCTACTAATAAACAAAAATTAGCTGGGCGTGGTGGTGGGCACCTGTAATCCCAGCTACTCTGGAGGCTGAGGCTGGAGAATCGCTTGAACCTGGGAAGTGAAGGTTGCAGTGAGCCGAAATTGCACCACTGCACTCCAGCCTAGGCTACAATAGCAAAACTCTGTCTCAAAAAAAAAAAAAAGTACTAAACACTAAGGAAAAGATGTGTATATTAGATTAAATTAAAATCAGGAACCTCAAACGATTGCATTAAGAGAACTAAATGACAAAAGAATGTGTTTGCAGTACATATTTGACAAAGGAAGACATAATAAGAAAAGACAAAGTAATAGAAAAATGGCCAAGATATACAACTTCACAAAAAAGGATACTCAAATGGCCAATGAATGCCTGAAAAGGAGCTCAATATCAATTGTTATCAAATTAATGCAAGTGAAAACCACAACACTTCCACTATAGTTCCACCAGAGTAACTAAAATGAAAAAGCCAGTGTTGGCAAGAATGTGGAAAAACTAAAACTATCATGATGGGAAGCATAAATTGGTACAATCACTTTTGACAAATTCTTTGTAAGTATCTACTGAAGTACAGCATACACATTGCCTATGACCCAGCAATTGCAGCACTGGATACGCACAATAGAAATGTATTCGCATGTGTTCCAAAAGACATATGCTATTTGGCATAACCTAAAGCTGTAAACACCCTGTATTAGTCTGTTCTTGCACTGCTATAAAGAACTACCTGAGACTGGGTAATTTATAAAGAAAATAAGTCTAATTGGCTCACAATTATGCATGCTATACAGGAAGCATGGCTGGGGAGGCCTCAGGAAACTTACATTATGGCGGAAGGTGAAGAGGAAGGAGGCATGTCTTACATGCCCAGAGCAGGAGGAATAGAGTGAAGGGGAAGGTGCTACACACTTTTAAACAACCAGCTCTCTTGAAAACTCTCTCATGATCACAAGAACAGCAGGGAGGAAATTCGTCCCCATGAGCCAATTATTTCCCACCAGGCCCCTTCTCCAATACTAGGGATTACTATTTGACATGAGATTTGAGCAGGGAACCAATTCAAATGGTATCACACCCCTAATGTCCCTCATAGAGGATGGATAAATTAATTGGGGTATATTCAAGCAGTTATGAAAATAAACCAACTTACAACTGCAAAAACATGAATGAATCTCACCAAAATAATGTTGAGCTAAAGAAAACCATCACAAAGAATGCATGCTGTGATTCCATTTTACAAAGGTCAAGAAAAAGCAAAATTAATGTGTGGTTTAAGGAGTTAGATTAGTGGTGTCCTGTGGAGAAAAAATTAGGAAAAGTGATCAGATGGGGCTTCTGGGATACTAAGAAAGTTCTATTTCTTAATCTGAGTGATGAGTACAAGTGCGTATGTTTGCCAATTTGCCAGGTTCTATGCTTAAAATGTTTGCATTTGGGGCATGTATATTTCAATATGAATTTTTTTAATCAAGTAAAAATAAAATTGGAAGTTGAGACTACCCTAGCCATTTAGGGTTATTTGTGCCACTAGACAAAAAATTGAGAATAAGCTGTGGCAGCTCATCCCAATTACAGGTGGAAATTGGGCTGCTGCTACCCGCAGGGAGTAAGAAGTAATCTGCCTGAAACCCAGCCAATTCATTGACTTTGTCTCAGTACTCTCTTGCCCGGTAATACTAGGCAGTGGGAAACTGCAGTAACATAGTAAGACAAAACCACTGAAAAAGACTTGGATGTTATGGCAATGCAAGTTTGGGTCATATTCTCAGGCAAAAACTCAAACTTCCTGAGGTGATGGCAAAGGTGATTTATGATAATAGTGTATCCAGGTAGTTTAAACTAATTTCTTCCCTCCCCACTGCTGCAGTATTAACCTTGGGCATGTGTATCATCATCTTTGAGGGAATATGTCTCATTCTCACATTTTTATCAGTAGCTTTTGACTTAGCTAGAAAGATCAAGCCGACCCACCTAAATTCTAACTTCAAATTTAAATTACAAAGGTGTAAATTTGTGCTATTAAAATTTTCTTTTAAAATATGAAAATGTGGCTGAGCACAGTGGCTCATGCCTGTAATCCCAGCACTTTGGGAGGCCGAAGCCGGTGGACCATCTGAGGTCAGAAGTTCAAGACCGGCATGGCCAACATGGTGAAACCACCGTTCTACTAAAAATACAAAAAATCAGCCATGTCTGGTGGCGGGCACCTGTAATCCCAGCTACTCCCAGAGGCCTGAGGTGGGAGAATTGCTTAAACTCAGGGAGGCAGAGGTTGCAGTGAGCTGAGGTTGCACCACTGTACTCCAGCCTGGGCACAAGAGCAAAACTCCATCTCAAAAACAAACACACGGCCGGGCGCGGTGGCTCAAGCCTGTAACCCCAGCACTTTGGAGGCCGAGGCGGGTGGATCACGAGGTCAGGAGATCGAGACTATCCTGGCTAACATGGTGAAACCCCGTCTCTACTAAAAATACGAAAAACTAGCCGGGCATGGTGGCGCGGGCCCCTGTAGTCTCAGCTACTTGGGAGGCTGAGGCGGGAGAATGGTGTGAACCCCGGGAGGCGGAGCTTGCAGTGAGCCCGAGATCACGCCACTGGCACTCCAGCCTGGGAGACACAGCGAGACTCCGTCTCAAAAAAAAAAAAAACATACACACACACACACACACACATATGAAAATGTAATTATATCAAAATGAAGTCCCTAGATTTTTTGCTCTGCTTTCTAGAAGAATGTTTGGCATATGTGTAAGCACAATAATTTCCATTCACTTAAGCTTCAGGACCTCTTTTAATTTGTGTGTATATGCACCAGTGTGCACACTTACGTAAACATGGTTGACTCCTACATGACAGTTTTCTCTTTGGTATATACATTTATTCAAAAGAATGTATAAGGACAGAATTCAGTTATATAACTAGATAAATGTATGATCACAAGATCTATATTATTTTGAAAAATGGCAATAAATTCATACAAAGTCACTAAGACTACACCTGATGCAAATATGGATCTGATGAACACTTAGTGTCCACTGGTTAGAAATCACAGTGTTAAAGTTGAAAATATTTCCATCAATACTTTTCACTTACTTCTCTTTTTTTTTGAGACGGAGTCTTGCTCTGTTACCCAGACTGGAGTACAATGGCCCTCAGCTCACTGCAACCTCTGCCTCCTGGGTTCAAGTGATTCTCCTGCCTCAGCCTCCCAAGTCGCTGGGATTTCAGGCACCCACCACCATGCCTGGCTAATTTTTGTACTTTTAGTAGAAATGGGGTTTCACTACATTGGCCAGGCTGATCTCAAACTCCTGATCTAAATTAATCCACTTGCCTCGGCCTCCCAAAGTGCTTGGATTACAGGCTTGACCCACCACCCCCAGGCAATTGTCATATTTTTAAGTTCACATTTTCCATATCTAAAAATAATAAAAATTACCACTTATTTCTTTAAAAATAGACTGTAAGACATCTGTATTAGTCTGTCTTCACATTGATATAAAGAATTACTTGAGGCTAGGCGTGGTGGCTCAAACTTGTAATCCTAGAACTTTGGGAGGTCAAGGCGGTTGGATCACCTGAGGTCAGGAGTTTGAGACCAACCTTGCCAATATGGCGAAAACCTGTCTCTACTAAAAATACAAAAATTAGCTGGGCATGGTGATGCATGCCTGTAATTTCAGCTACTTGGGAGGCTGAGGAAGGAGAATCACTTGAACCCGGGAGGTGGAGGTTGCAGTGAGCCAAGATCACACCACTGCACTCCGTCCTGCACAACAGGAGTAAGACTACATCTGAAAACAACAACAACAACAACAACAACTTGAGACTGGGTAATTTATGAAGAAAAAAGGTTTAGTCAACTCACAGTTCTGTAGGCTGTACAGGAGGCATGGCTAGGGAGGCCTTAGGAAACTTACAATCATGGCAGAAGGTGAAGGGGAAGCAAGCATTTCTTCCCACGGTAGAGCAAGAGGAAGAGAGTGAAGGGGGCAGTGCCACACACTTTTTAAACCACCAGAGGTTGTCAGAACTCACTCACTATCATGAGAATGGCAAGGGAGAAGTCTGCCCTCATGATCCAGTCAGCTCCCACCAGGCCTCTACTCCAACACTGAGAATCACAGCTGAGAATTGAGTGGGGACTTGGAGCCGAACAATATCAACATCTATGCTGGGAATGAGAAAGTAAGAGGATCTCATCCAAGTAAGTCATCATAGAATGTTCCAGAAGAATGTTAAACTGGTCTGTTAAGTGGCTACTCTTTTTATCCTTTTTAGGTTGGCTTTTCCTAACACTTGACCCATCCTGAAGGAGAGACCTTGGGAGGTAAGAGATGGTATTCACTCTTCAGTTTTCTCTTTTCCATTGGGACGTTCTCGTCATTTGTTGGAAGGACTGATTTACATTTTGCTGAATTCCTCCAGTTGATGTTTTTGTTCTCCTTAATTATTAGTGCTCTGGGCAACTGCCCAGCTTATGGAGAGGTCCCTAATCTAGCTCTGCTGAAGAAAGGGGGTGGCGTTAATGATTACCTTGGCTAGGCCACGTTTTTGACAAGGATTTGTTCTCAGGTTTTAACTGACATTTGAGTTAAAATAAATGGATCTGTTCTCACTTCTTCAGAGAGGTCTTTCCTGACCCCCAACCCCATCTAAATCAGCCCCACAAGATTCTATTTCATCCTCTTTACTGCCCTTAACAGTACTACCATTAACTTATCTACTTACTATTCTGCATGAGATTCTCAGTAGCAGCAACTTTGTTTATCCTATTGCCAAGAGTGAGGCCAGGCCCACCGTAATGGCTTGATGTTTAACCCACTTGACTGGCTACTGTGTATGAGCCTGGAGGTTTTCAAAAGCAACTAGTTACCTGAACTTCGTGTTTATATTCTGGTAGTCATTCTTTAATCACTCTCTCAGCACCCTTATGATTTTCAGTTTGAAGTGCACCAAAGAGCAAACTGCATCCTTTAAGCATCACTATGACTTTCAGAGAATTCTGGGCAGAAATGCACTTCACAATGAAGTAGCTAAAATGCCATTAATTTTTAGGAAATTATACTCTTCTCCATACTGAACGGTCATGCCATTATTATCAGGTTCAGAAAAAGTACCCGTAAGGTAGACATGACACACCATAAGTCTAAGAATTAGGAGATTTCATGTAAGTTAAAATTTTACTCAAGCAAATTAAGGTCTTTTAGTTCTATTCCAATAACATTTCATAAGTTCTTAACCAGAGACACGGCTTAATGAAAGCTCATGGATTACCTCAGTCCTTCAGTTACAGCCTGCAGAAAGAACATTCTTAGGTTTAGCTGTGCTGGCTCTCAGAAGAAAAAATTAGGAGGTGGGAGCTTTTATTTTCCAAGTTAAACATTCCATCCAAAAAAGCACAGAGGCTTTAATGCAAGAAACATGAACCACCAACACTGTGTTGCTGGCTCAGGCTCAGCATCACCCAGGCAATGCCTGAGGCCTGGAGGAAGCTGAGAAGTGATGACAAGTGGAGGGAGGAAGCTGCTTGTCCAACTGCTGTGATGAAACCACCAGTAAGAGCCACACTGCAAATGTTTCAGCAGCCCTAGGACCCTGCTAGCAGGAAGAGCCAGGGGTTGGGGGACTGGGTTCTTGTGGTGTTCCTTGTAGAAGTTCAAGTCCAGTGTACTACCTAACTACTGTTTTTTACAAGTCTAGAGAAAACACCTGTTGCCTGTCCAATCCCTGCTGTCTAGTTCCACACAAACATGGCATTGCCCTGCTTAGTGCCCTCCAGGGACACCCACTTCCTACATGGGGGGATCTTCAGACACCATCAAGTCCCATCCTGCCCCTTTTCATTCAGGCCACCATCTGTCCCTGACTTGCCTGATTCTGCAGCTGGCCCAGGTTCCTGGGGTTCCCCAACCTTGTCATGTCTGTGATAGGACAGAAAGTCAGAAGAGGAGAAAAGTGACATTACGCCAGAACAGGCAGCTAGTCTGCTGGCTCAAGGCTTCCGGGTAGGCCTGGAAGGACAACAGGGAGGTCAAAGTTAGATGAGAAATGAGCAACCTAGAGGCCTGCAGGTGGTAGCAGGGCTGGGTGAGAAGCCAGACACAGCTGTTGAGATGGTGTATGTTATCGATTCTAAAACAAAGCTCTTTTTATAATTGAGTGCTTGTGAAATCAGGATGTGTCTCACAACCAGTGGCATCTTAGCACTGTGTTATTGCTACTACGATCTGTTTCTGCCCACAGAACACTTCTGATGCCAAATGTGTGTGGAGGTTTGCCCTCAACGATCATTTCTGCAACACCAGCTAAGTGTTCTACAATTGAACTCTGGCACTATCTACCCAGAGTTAGTTTGGAATTCACAGGTTAAAGGCTCAGTCCCACAAGACCGCCCCCACTTCACATGCCAATTGCAATTTGGGGCCATCCATCCTTCTCATGAACTGGCTATAAGTTGGGGGTTTCTACAACCGTTTTTTTAGGTTGGATATTTGCTAGAAGAGCTCACAGAACTCAGCATTTTACTTACATTTACCAGTCCATTACAAAGGATACACAGGAACAGCCACGTGCAAAGTTATATACAGCAAGGTCCGGAAGATGCTCAAGCACAGATGTTTCTGTCCCAGTGGAGCTGGGGTGTGGCATTCTCCCAGCAAGTGGATGCGTCCACTAACCTGGAAGCTGTTCAACCCCATTGCTTTGGGGTCTTATGGAGCTTCCACTACATCGGCATGATAGATTAAATCATTGGCCATTGGTGAGTAACCCTCTAATCACTCTCGCAACCAGGTCCCATCCTAAAGCTATCTTGGCAACCACCAGGAGTTATCTCATCAGCATAAACTCATATACAGTTGAAGAGGCTTACTATAAATAACAAAAGACTGTCACTCAGGAAATTCCACCAGTTTTGGAAGCTCTGTGACAAGAACCTGGGCCAAAGACCAAATCTTTATTTGTTATTATATGACAATATCACAATTATGGTTTTTATTGTGTCATTTTAAAATAATACAATAAAAAAATCTTGGTGAGTCAAGTATCACTCTAGTTCTACTCCAGTAACTTTTCATAAGTTCTTAACCAGAGATATGGCTGTATTTATCACTTTATTGCTTTATTTAAAAATAGTATTGATCAAAGGTAACATCAAATGTAGTCATTGAAAACATGGGTCAATTTCCCAGAATCAAGTCCAACATGGAGGGATAAATGCAGGTACAGGCCAGAGAGAGGCCTGGAGTCAGAAACTAGGAGAACAAGGAGAGAGAGGGGCTCCCACAGGCCAAACAACTGTGACGTTCCCAGCGTCCTACATCCCCGACTGCTTGTGGCATGGATGCAAGTGTGTTTAAGATTCAGTGCCTCTGCACCTTTTCCCCTGCAGCATCTGCCTCCTCCTGTCTATTTGCCTTTCGAAACTCTGTCAACATGTTAGTTCCTTGAGCTCTTCCTGGACTCCATCAGGCAGTTACTGATCCCTTCTTTTGGGCTTCCACAGTTCTTTAAACATCTGTCACATGTTTTGTGATTATTGATTTATTGTTATGTCTACTGTTATTTAACCACTTGCTCCAAGGATGGGGTCAGTCTCTGAATCCCAGCATCTGGAGCAGTGTCCAGAATAGAAGAAGCACTTCCATGTTGGTTAAATGAACCTATTTAGAAAGTGTTAAAACGTATCTCTCAGGTGAACTGACAGCAAGCTCGTATCAGTTTATTTCACCCTGACTACAAGGAAACTATTTCCAGCAAAGCCAGCTCAGATTTCCTTCAGTTAGATAGCTTTTGATAGTTAAAAAATAATGATAATAACAGATAAGTGAGGCTAAATTGCCTTGCTAGATGAGGCACCAGAAAGGAACGTTCTGAGCTAAAAGTCACCATGCAAATCTCAGACCCAGGGTCAGCCACCTGAGTTACATTCCACAAAACCAGGTGGGGAAATCTCTGGGAGGGCATTTCTAGTCTCATTATATTCCATGAGGGAATTGCTGTAACGTTTTACTGGAAATGCTGGATATTTATCCAAAAGCACAATAAATTTTGCTCCAGCCTACTTTTTCTCTGATTTTAGTCCTACTTATTACCCAAGTAGCCTGAGTCTTGTGGAATGGGGACTTCTAAGTCTTCAGTCACAGGGGTGCACATTCCCTGCTGGCTTTCAAACAGGGGCTGCCACACCACCCTGAGCAAGAATTCTCCTACACTGGAGGCTGGGAAGGATAAGAAGGGAGGGATATGGAGAGATTTGTTAAAGGATACAAAAAAACAGATAGGTAAGAGGAATTACTTCTAGCATTCTATACCACTGTAGGATGACTATAGTTAACAATAATATACTACATAGTTTCAAACAGTGAGAAAGAGGATATTGAATGTTCCCAATACAAAGAAATGATAAATGTTTGAATTGATGAATACACTAATTACCATGATCTCATCACCAGATATTATTTGTATCAAAACATCACTAGGTACCTCATGACTATGTACAACAACTATTTGTCAATTAGGAAAAAATAAAATAAAATTTTAACAAAGAATGCTCTTAGGCCAGACACGGTGGCTCACACCTGTAATCCTAGCACTTGGAAAGGCCAACGTGGATGGATCAGTTGAAGTCAGGAGTTCAAGACCAGACTGGCCAACATGGCGAAACACTGTTTCTACTGAAAATACAAAAAAATTAGCCAGGCATGGTGGCTCATGCCTGTAATCCTAGCTACTTGGGAAGCTGAGGTGGGAGGAGGATCACTTGAACCCAGGAAGCAGAGGTTGCAGTGAGCCGAGATCGCACCACTACACTCCAGCCTTGGTGAGAGTAAGATTCTGTCAAAAAAAAAAAAAAAAAAAGAATGCTTCTAAATGTTGGGGTGCGGAAGGCTTTTGTCCATCCTGTGCTAATGATGACCTTTTTATTCTGTTTTTTTGATCCTTTGACATCTTGGGGCCTTGCTGACCCTGGAAGGACTGCTTACTCCCAGAGTAGAAGGTATTACTATTTGAACCACTAGACTGAGTCAAAATGATCTGTCCTCACCAACGTTGGTAGGCATTATTCTTCCAATTCCTTGAAGGTCTCAATAGAACAAAAAGACAGGGGAAGGGCAAATTTGCTCTTTCTTCTGGAGCTAGGACATCCAGCTTCAGATCTCTGACATCAGAACTGCAGGTTCTCAATCCTGGGACTCTGGGACTTATATTAGTGTTCCCCACCCCACTCTACCGAAGATACCTGACTTGAGTTACTCAGAAGACTAGGTAAGGGTTTATTGAGGGAGCTGGCAACCCACCCCTGACATGTGTGACTCAGCCAGAACCAGAGCATAGGAGCCTCATTGCCTTCACCCTAGTGCTGCCATATAGAGCAGCTGGAGCCTCTCCTGTGGACTCAAGCCTAACAGTGGGCGTTCCCTTGGGAAGGTAGGATCATCTCCACCTCTTTCTCTTTGTTTCTTTATCGGTACAGTGGAGATGGTAATAATAGTACCGAAATCTTGGGGTTATCATAAAGATTAAAGTAATTAAAATATGTGAAGTGCTTAGACCATGCCTGGTGCATAGCAGGCGCTTTATAATCATTTACTTTAATAAAAACACAGGTACTGGAGCCAAAGGCTTGACCTTAATTGATATGTGAACCAGGTAAAAGTCACTTAGCCATTCTGAGTTTCAGTTTTCTTATTTGTAAAATGAAAGTAAAATAGTACCTATCTTGAAGGGTTTTCATGAAGATTAAATAAGCTAATAGGAAGAAATCACCATAACAGCCTGGCACCACAAATGTTAGTTAATAAATCTTGGCAAGCTGGGCACTGTGGCTCACACCTGTAATCTTAGCCCTTTGGGAGGCTGAGGCGGGTGGATCACCCGAGGTCAGGAGTTCGAGACCAGCATGGCCAACATGGTGAAACCCCATCTCTACCAAAATACAAAAAAAATTAACCGGGTGTGGTGGCAGGTGCCTGTAAACCAGCTATTCGGGAGGCTGAAGGAGGAGAACTGCTTGAACGTGGGAGGTGGAGGTTGCAGTGAGCTGAGATTGCGGCCTTGCACTCCAGCCTGGGCAACAAGAACAAACCTCTGTCTCAAAATCAATCAATCTTGGCAACCAACACGGGTTCCACCTGGCAAAGGTTTTGGCTCTGTGGGGTAATGCTGCCCTCTGCCGGACAATTAGGTTTCCTGCTTTGTTTGTTTTAATAAACTGTTGGGTTTGTTCCCAAAGTCCCATCCCACCCAGCAAAAAGGCTAACATTCTTCAAAAAGATTATTTTCTCAGAATACGTTTCTGAGAAAATGAGTACAAACATGATTTGTTGATTCGCCATCCGCAAATGGCTTTCCTCATTTGAGGAACAAATGAGCCACTTGGAAACTTACTTGGGTTGCAATTTTATTTCCAATTTTATCTTTATGAAGAAATCCAGGCCGAGTTCAGTGGCTCACACCTGTCATCCCAGCACTTTGGAAGGCCGAGGCGGGCAGATCGCTTGAGCCCAGGAGTTCGAGACCAGCCTGGGAAATATGGAGAAACCTTGTCTGTACAAAAAATACAAAAATTAGCCAAGCGCGCGCCTCGGGGCGCTCCGGTGGCTCAAAGCTGTAAGTCCGAGCACTTTGGAGCCGGAGACGGGCGGATCACGAGTCAGGAGAATCGAGCACATCCTGGCTAACAGGGTGTGGAAAACGCCCGTCCTCTTAAGTAGGCGAATTACAAGGAGAGGAGCTACGCAGTCCGGGCAGAGGTGTGAGGCCGTGGCTGGGCGCCTGTAGTCCAGCATCGGGAGGCTGAGAGACAGACCCGCAGGGCACATGGCGTGACCCCGGGGGGGGCGGGAGCTTGCACGTCGAGCGAAATCGCCGCCACTTGCACTCGCCAGCCTGGGGCCACCAGGAGGCGAAGACTTCCGTCTCAAAAAAAAAAAATAAACAAAAAAAAAAAAAAAAAAAAAAAATTCAGCCAAAGCGTGTCGTGGCGTACATCTGCAGGTCTCCAGCCGTTACCTCCGGTAGGGCTAAAGTGGGAGCATCACCAAGCCCAACGGGGGTCGAACGGGCTCGCGTGCAGCCGCCGTAGTGGGCGCAAGTTCGCTTGCCAGCCTGCCCGCGAGACAGAAGATACAGGGAAAGAGAAGACGAAGGGGGGAGACCGCGAGGACAGAGGAGGAACAGAGGAGCGAGACGGGAGGAGAACGGGGACAGAGGAGGGACAGGAGATGGGGAGGGGAGGAGGCACCAGGGAAATCCAGCTATGTTGCTGCGGCCGTAGTCCACGACCTGTAAGTCCCCTCAGCACGGGTTTGCAGAGGCCAAGCGGAGGAGAGCGAAAGTCACTTGACGTCAGGAGTTCGGGACCAGCGTGGCCAACATGGTGAAGCCCCATCTCTACTAAAAATACATAAATTAGCC